AATCAACAACTATTGTTAGAAATGTGATTGCTACAAGTTCGGTCAGCTACATAAATTCATCTCAAATGATAGCTAATTGAACAAGACTGTAATTCTAAACTCTTATTGTTCTTAAAGCTAGAGAAGTGTATGATGTAGATATTGGGAGAGCTTACAAATAGTCTTACTAATAGTAGTAATGATAATACTAATGATATTAATGATAATTAGTAGTAATAGTAGTGTGGTGTGTACTACTGATGTCGACAGATATACGTAGTATGCATCACCAATCGAAAATGGAATGCCTAGTGGCAGAAGGTTGAGAAAATCGAAGAGAGAACGAGAACAGGGAGTGATTGATATAGAAACGAAGGAACAACAAAGTCTGAGACAGCTGATGGATATTTTGAAAATGAAGTATTTACTGTAAGGTTTTCAGATTTTACCAAGATATTCTATAATGTTTTATTAAAACACATTTGGTTGTCACCGCCTGTGTTCTTGTTCACTACAGTAATAGAAGTAGTTATAGTAGTACTAGCATTAACGCCAATGAAACCTATGAAAGAGCGAATCCGCAAATTTCACTCGTCAATACTAAATATCTAATTAACTAATTTACATTTGAGCATATCACTAGCATATTCAAAGGGAGTTGAATTACTCCTCTCTCCTTAAAAAACTTTTTGACTTGGACTTGATTCCACAAAATGTAGAATGAGCTTTCTTATTGTATTCGTTTTGAATGAATCTATGTTAAATAAAGGGTTGATAATCTAAAAAACAACAGTATTGTATAGTTTATACCGTATAAAAATTTACCTAAACAAATAACCGTCCAGGGTAAACTTAAGAGTATCGGAAAACTGTTTCAGTTTTTCATATCACTTTTCCTGAGTATAATGTTTGTAAATTCTCTTTAAGGGTCAAACATGAGACTCTTAAGTCGAAGTGAGGAGCACAATAAATTTCAATCACTAAAACAGAACTAATTTCAATAAACCAAACGATAAACTTAAATTATCAAATAAAAAATGTGACTTTTAGATTTTCTCTTCATCTGAAGTGAGAGTGAAAAATATAAACTATTAAATCTTAACTTAGTAGTTTAAAAGTAAGAGGTACATTGAGTGACCTTAAGGTACTAGGTCTGATCGCTAGTAGTAGGTTGGATGAACACCTCTGAAGAGTCCCATTCAAGACGAAACATCTATTTTTCCAATGCTTCACGATTTCCAATGGTTATCCAACTAAAGTCAATCTATGCTGGGAAACTATGAAATTTCAATAATCTTCACAACCATCTGTACTAAAATATAAAATTTTTTTCAAGTAGATAAATTTACTTCATTGGTGATGTACTTTTAAAGTTCATATTCATATTATTCAGATAGATCAATAAATATTTCATGATAATGAAATATAACTGGATGAAAAAGCGACTGAAATTTGAAATGAGCTTTTTATTTAATGAAAGTTATCTCATTTTTCATAAGATCGTCTTGAATTTTTAACACATTCAGTATCTGCAGATAGGTAACAATCATTTTTGTCATTATAAAGTGTTTCTGGAAGTTTCTCGAAGTACAAGGTCATGTTCTTTTTTTTCTGTACAAAAATAAACCTTAAGAGTAGAACTTCTCTCATGCTTCATGTATTTTTTCCATTTTGAACTAAAGAGTGAAGGACTTTGAAAACCTAAAAGCAGTTAACAAGTCGGTGTTAAAATACTCATAGATACAGACTATTAGAACCCTTAAAATGAAAGGAAACCAAACTATCTATTGCTCCTTAGTTTTCATTAATTATTTGAATAAAATCATTGACTGATGAAAAGCATTCATGGCCTTTAATATTCGTAAAGACTTGTATGCTGTAATTATTTTTACTTCTTCTGGGTGCTTAACTGACTCATAATTAGTATTAAGAAACCTGAATCTGACGACGCTTAGAGAAAGCACAAAGACTGTTGATATGAATTTATTTGACCCCAGAAATAAATGAAAATGATTTATAAATACACCACTTTTTACAAGAATTATTTACAGTCGGAATTTATATAAACTGAATTCAGTAGAATTTGACATCATTTAATAGGCTTGTGGAAATTATCGAATTTCACTGAAATCATGAGCAGAATAATGTTAGCCCCTCACTGAATGACTATAGGTACTGGGTGACTATTTCGTAGAAGGATGGGACTGCAGAGGAGTCTCATACTAGAACGGGACGTTCGTCCTGGATTCTACAGTTACTACCATTCATCTCTGCTTAAAACAGTGAATTACGTTTGTTGAAGTTAATTAACATATAAGAATCACAGGATATTATTCATAAAATATTACGTTAAAATTGTTGATATAACGCGTAAAATTTTCCATGTGTAAATAAAAGGTAGGAGAGTGATCATTACTCAACGACCGAGTAATTGGAAAAATATCATTTGAATAAGTCACCCTCATATTCGTAAGAGATTAATAAGAAAACCTCTGATTGTGATAATCGTTACTGCAGATTATCATTCCTCACTTAATGGATGAGTATCAGTTTCATAAGATTCCAGAAACATCTATCTAGTAAGCACAGACCAACATGAAACTCTAGATTTACAGCTTTCTGAGAATATGCAATGTTATTTTATGCCCGAGTTAAATAGAAATAAATAGAAATCACATTTTAAATATTTCATTATTGTTTAACTACAGGAATAGTTCCAAGTGGTGTCTCCTTACACAGATTTCAGATTCTATTCCTAATAGGACATTAATTTGTACTCTATTATTCTTTAGAGGAAATCACTCTCGAATTCAATTTAGTTTTAACTTTTTTGCAGTTTTATACATTATGGTTTTTTCTTTATTGCTTAAAATATATTTTGAATTTATATGATGAATAAATTTTTCTGTGATACCACTATTATCATTATAAGCAGTATTGTAGCGAATAAGAACACGAATGGGGTCAATCGAATGTACTTGAGCACAAAATTACAAAACATCTTACTAAAACCTGAGAATAATAGAGTAAATACTTAGTTTGCAAAATATCAATACACTGTCTCAAACTTGACTGTTTCTTTTGCAAACATAAGTCCACCATCTCAGATTTCATTGTTCCTGCATTTTCATACCATTACATTTCCGTCCTTGTTCTTTCCTTTTCTATCCTCTGAAGAAATACAATCGTTCTATACTACTTATGTAGATATAAGTATCACACACCACAGTATTATAATTATTTCTACGAATAATCTGTCCATTTAATATAACTTGAAATACTAAATACATAATAATTTATAATAATAGTAAATAATTGTAGTTATAATATACATATTTTTGTAAGATGATACTTTTTTGGATAAGATAATCACAGTGATTAAACATATTCTATATTCTACTCATCTGTCCATTTATCTAATTGTCTGTCTATCTATCAACTAAAATATCTATCTAACTACCTATCTTTGTATCTATGCTTCCATTCTGATTCCAATAATAATAATAATAATAATAATAATAAACAGTCTGAATCGGTTAATTAAATTAAGAATAATTATGATTATCAATAACCTAGAGATAAGAACTATTATTCCTTATTAAATAATGAATATGTGCGTATGTTTCTGATTGTACACACATATGTGCGTGTGTATATATGCATATTTAAAGATGAGATAATTAACATGATTTATCTTTGTCTCGTAATACAAAAAAAGGGAACGAAGAAATTCAATTTCTTATATGCAGATGCATATGATGAAATTAACGAATTATATAAGCAGGATTGTTTGCATATAGTATATACATATATATTATATGTATATAATATTAAGCTTGATATAATTGTAGATTAGAATTAATGATGGTTTATTGTATAAACGTGTACAGGCACAAGAAAGCAATTAAATTGATCGTGATAATGAGTATAAAAAGTGTGTATGTATGTATGTACGTATGTATGTATGTGTGTATGTGTGTGTGTACACACACTTATGCAGATATACAATATATATGATATGTTATCTCTACCTATTTATTAAACTAACTTATAATTAGACGTATTTTTTAAGAAGATAATTTCATTAAATGAGGTGCTATATATATTTATAAACAAAAAAGAATCTTCCTTCTTTTTTAATGGATATCATTTAAATAATTGTGTGTAACCATTTCGAATCAATTAAGCATAATATACTTAAGTGATAGAGATAGAATTCTAATTGGTGTTCAGTCTGTAATTTAAAGATAACTATCAAATTAATTTGAAGAAAGTAAAAAAATAATAATAATAAAGAAGAAATAAATGAATAAAGATTAAAGTAGACAAAATATTTTTGCCCTTTTTAGCTTAATTTGAAGGTTCCAAAGGATTTATCTAAGCATATCTGAGTTATACGTTTAATTCCTTCAAAGATTGGGACCTACTAATATACATTGTCATACTGACTAGTTTACTATTCATGAAAAGGGATATTTGTGTTAACTGTACTGTTTTGATTATAGACAGGGATATCTTAACTGATTTTAGTCAATGTTGTAAACGATTTTTATGAATTTTCATAAACTACTCAATTAAACAATCATGTATTCACTAGTGATGAACTTTTTAAAAAATTACCAAGGTTCTAGTGATTGATATAGTTCAATCAAGTTATTTATGTGATAATTATTATAGGATGATCGCCCGTGTATATCGCTGACTGATTAACATTGAAAATGTTAACCATTTATTAAACTTTGACTTCACAACTGTAGTTCAATGATCCTGATTTCAATCTCTTTTCATATTGTTTAGTGGATAGTTTTGATATTTATTTAGCGATATATATTTTTGAATTGTTCCCATATTGAAATTAGCACATATGTTCATATACCATTTAATTTTAAATACTTAGTAAGTTGATAAATGTTATGAGAATGTTTCAGTAAGATATTTATCACCAGAAAATTACTTTAACTTAACAATAACATGATTATAAAAAGAGAACATTTGTTCTCTTAGTCTAGCATCATCTCATGATGGCTATAACTAGAAGTCATCGAGAAAAAATCAACATGAAATCAAATAACGTTACAAAGCATTTTGTAAGTAATCGGTTCAAACTAAATCGTCTCATCTACTTCTTTGTTGAATAACCCTTTTCGAATTGATAGTATTTGTCACAGATTAATCTGAGTTGTAATATTATTGAAACTAGGAAGTATTAGGTTCTTATTTTAACTTATATGGAGCTCTTTAGCAATGTACACTGACAGCCGCATAAGGATTGGAAAACAAAAGAAAATATGAAAACAGTTTTACGTGAAACCATATGTAGGCTATTATCAACTATCACTAATTAAAAAGAAGTATTAGAAAACTATCTCCTTCGTCAGGAACATTTTTAATTTAATCGTTTTGATCGGTCTACATCCAACCTTGATTTAGCGTTAATCACGCAACTATTCCCGATGTATTATAATTGTAGGTTAATTAATAAGAATATATATAAATAGTTGTATTTTAGCTAAATAAACATAATATGTTTTCACAATCAATAACTAATTCATTATTCTTTTGATATTTCTACAGTTCAGTTAGATCTAGGGTACAAGGATTGGGTAAGATAGAAGAAGAGTAAAATCATATTCATTATCAAATTATTTCATTCAATGGAATCCATTTTGTGATTACTAGTGCAACAATCCACTCGGTCATATCAATTAGAAAGGGTAAAAATTATTTATAAAAATTATTATCCGAAATGGATTAATTTTTAATTTCTGGTTGCTTATCTATCAGGTGAATAGTTATCAGGGAATATGAGAGAGAGAACACGCAAATTAGCGACAATAATATTTCAGTAATAAAAATAATAGTTAACCATTAGGTTAGTGAGTTCAATTTAAACAGGCATCTATGATACACACATTACACTAGGGGGAATAATAACGAATATGGTAGAGGAGAAATTAATATCTCATGGGATTACTTATTATTAGTGAATAAAATATCAATAATTTTTGCTAATTCAATAAAATAAGATGGTTCAGCAGTTTTCTGGGTTGCTTTTCAGAAGAAGAAGAAAAAAAACTAATAAATTAAATTTTACTTCGTCAATAAAATTAAGGTAAATTCCATTGTTGTTGACAGTGCCAAGGTTAGATTCTTACGTTCAAATTAATTTATCAATACCACTAACTAGTCAGTTATAAGCAACATAGAGAGTGGAGTATATGTACGTTGCCTCTAATTAGTCATTATCGAATTGATATAATGAAATGAAATTAACAATATGAAAAACAAGTAATTCTAAATAATCTCAGGAACAATGATGGTGAGAAAGACTAAAAATGGAGAATATAGCTTAGAAAGATAGAATAAAAAGGTGCCTATGAAGGAATACTAGAATTCAAAGTGTATAAGAAGACAGAATAAATTTATATGTACAGTTTTGATCGATTTTAAGACATATCACTCAATGTTTTCAACTACTCATTGTGATTATCATACAAATTTGAACCACGTAGTCTGGGTTTACTAAAAGATTTGAACAAACGTTCACTTACTTTATTGACACATATGTCTGTTTTTTTGATATGCCGATTCTAGTGTTTTCCCAGCTGAATCCTATGCTACCTAATATCGCTCGTTTAAGTAAGCGGTGGTTAGGCATTTTTAATACTTGTCCTAACCAAATCAGTCGAAAAAGATTCACAACCTTAATAACTAATTTGTCATATTTATTAACTTACTAGAAGGGAATAAAGAGCGATTCAACAAATAAACAGTGGGAAGTAAAAAAATTTAAATATTTTATAAGGCGTGCTCTGTCTTGCATTTTTGAATAAGTTCGCGTTCATTTAATGTGTACAGTTTAATTTTCACTAAGAACTTCATTTTAATCATCTAAGGCCATCTACAGATGTCTTCTGTGAATATGTTACTATAGAGTATTTCAGCTTACCAAATGAAGAAATAAATAAAATGAAAGTTTGCGGCTTGAAACAAAATCTTCAGTGAATATTATAAAACATTATGAGGCATTCATTCACTAACTAAACAAAAAGAATAGCTTGATGTTGCATAAATATTAGACATTCAGAAAAATATGGACTGGAAATTCCCAAACAAATATCCAGTACCATAACTTGAATAAAAGAATTAATTAGATGTCATGTTTGGCCTAATAGTTTGTTGTTGTATAATACTACTTTACCGATTGAGAATTAATTGTGTCAGTGTATATACTTGAAAAAAAAAACAATACAATATTTACATTTCATAATCTCTAACAAATGATCAATGTCATGTTTTTCTTGTCTTTTAATATTGGTTAAATTCTATAGGTCAGGTTGTACTGCAGTCATTGGTCCAGGTGATTTGACATTGTATGCATTACATTGATACGTTAGATGGTTGGATATAGTCGACAGGAAATCTTGTTCAACCTAGACTCCTCGCTAGTCGATATTTGTCATTAAGGTTTATCTTTAGCCCTGAGAAAATTTTTGGTTGGCGTGAAGTTTAATTAGTCATCGCTCAGTCTCACAATCTGAGATAATTATATATATGGGAATTGGTTGGTCTCCTGTAGGAATAAGATATTTGTATTGATTTATTACTGGGCATCATGTGTGTCTAAAGTACCGTGGTATAAAGTGTTTATAAATATATTGTACCATTTACTAATCGCTTTTACGGTAATATCACTTGATGTACTAATTAAATGAAGTGTTTTTTCAAGAAATTAATTCCTTCATACTGTTATAATTAATTACTTCCCCGCAAATCGTAGGATAAATTTAAATTAAACTTACAAAATGATAATGTTAACTAGACAGAAATCTAGTTGAATAGCTGAAATTTTTTTACACATTTTCAATGTTTCTTCACTGTCATGTCATTTATTGTTCAGATACAATACAATTAATCAAAGTTATACAATTAATGATGAATAAGTTGACTGGTTTATCTCATTAAAGAATTAAGTTAAACTTTTACACTCTGATAGTCATCACAAGTGTATATTTGAATAAGAAGGACATTAATATCAATAACAGTGGTAATCTATCACTATTGAATGTTATATATATTGTATATATTGTATACAAATGAAATAGTGAGTTATTTTGTCTGTTTGACCATTTTCTTATAAATCTAGGTGTACTTTTCACGAGAATAAGATATTTTTAAAAATAATCACTGTAACTTAACACAAATTATGATTATCATCTTACAATTTGAGAATCTTCAACCTCTCTTAAAAAATGAACGGTTAAGTCACAGGTTTAATATCGGTTACATCGAGAATTGGCCTTAGTTGAACAACTATTAGGAACTAGGGAGCCCTGGACATTTACTTCATCCTAATATGAGACTAATCAGAAGTTGGATATTCACGATCCATACGAGGAGTCGAACTTAGGTCTTTCAGGTCTCACGACGAACGCCTAATCATTTAAACTATTGACTTGGCATCCATTAGTTTACATTTGTAACTTCAGTTGTTTCGCGATATTGCATAACCATATTTTACTACTAATGATGGAAAGTTGCCTGTTCAGTCATTCCCGGTCTTCAATAGCTGTTCTGGGTCAGTCTGTTACTTAAATTACAAAATTCAACAATTTTCACTAACTCCTTACGTTACTAAAGTAGAGTAGTTAATGAATGGTTGTCGTAACATCAAATGATTGAATTAACATTTTAAAAATTTCCCCTTAGATTGAGCATGTGAATACCTACCGGTACGTAAACACAACTAATTCTCGCTTTATAAGCAACAATAAATGTTGATCTCTAGGAATTGGTATCTCTGTTGGACTCTTACGAAGCATTCATAAAACAACTATCATTTTGAAACATATCTCATAAATTTCTAATCATTCAACTTAACATTATTATAAATAGATTAGCTTATAATATTTATATTTCCAAGCGAATTATGAACTTATAATTAACATTATTGCTTATTATTACAAGTATTGGTAGTAGTAGAAGGTTAATAATTTCCGGTAAATATAAAAAAACTATTCAAGCTTTTTTCCGGTATATATTTTTTCCTAATAATAATAACACTAGTAATGATAATAATAATAAAACTATTATTATTGGTAGTAGTATCAATATTAACTCATCAATCTATCTTCCTATTCATACTCCCTTCTATCGAGTTTTTTTTTAAATATTTTCATTTTACAAAGGTCAACATTCATTGTTTAACATCTGTGTATACTTATGTAAGTAGATATGTTGACATACATATTATTTAACATTGAACAATTTATTGTTTTACTAAAGTAACATAATTTCATTTAAAAAGAATTCGAATAGAATATTGTCTCTTTTTATTTGATTTATAAATAAAATTTCTAATATTGTTATTGAATATTCTTTACTTTATGTTATGATATCATCCTTATTATTATTATTATTATTATTATTATTACTACTGTTATTATTAACAATAACAGTAGTATATTTATAAATACAAGAAATATATATGTATATATCTGTAATATCATTTCCTTTCAATTTCATTGAACATTAAAATATAATTCGCTTTGAACACAAAATTATATCGAAAAGATTTTTTTTCATGATGAAAATATTGTAGAAAATATTTCATAAATTTTTTTTTAGATTTTAAGTAATGTTGTAACGGATTTTTTATTGCTCCTGGAAACGCGTTCAAACGCACACACACACACAACATTTTAATACATTTATCTAATCAGGTTTTTTTTTAGGTATCAACTTATATATGTAATCCTTTTTTTCTCTCGCAAATTTGAATGGCGGTATTAATTTTTATAATTACAATCAGTAAATAGATTGAGTACAATCAAATATAGGGGAGATATCTATCTAAAAATTGTAGATAAGGGACTATGCTAATGGTGTGTAATCAGAATAAATACAATTTAAACGATTTAATGACTGATTGAAAGGTAGGCCTGACACTAGCAGCCAAAGTACAAAAGTTTGTATTTGAAATTTCTTCAGTTAAAATGTCCATAGTTAGACTTGCAATATACGGTCATTGTATGATCCTAGTTTTGATGGAAGTCAAGATTCTTCGAAAGTCACGAAACCGATGCCCCTTCTAACAAACGGAGTAACAATTTTTATAGGTATATTGAACGTCCGGATAATGTGGAAGATCGAGAGGACCAGTCAAATAGGAGACACTATCTTAGTTCTGGTCACAAATGATACACGTTGCTTTAGCAACTAAAATAGATATTCAAGGAAAACCTCTAAGATTTTTACTCCTGCGGAGTATCGCAGAAAATTGATACCTTGAAGGATTAGCAGAATAATAATACTAAAAGTGGATAATGGTGTTTAATTCGAAGTGAGGAATCGTCGTAAATCAGGAAGAAAACATTCTATTTTGAGACCTCTTAAAAATATCATCATCACCACGACGTTGGAATTTTGTCAAGAATTTACTAAAGTTGAACTATTGCATTTCATTCAAATACTTCAAGGTTGAAGTGTTCAAAGTAGGATTAAGAAATTCAGACATCGATCCTTAAGGTAGCCATCGGTTCTTTACTAATCAGAATTTTTAAAACGGAACACAATAAATGTTCACTACATTCTAAATTTCAATGTCATTTCATATAATATCACTTAATATTTCATAATGAATTAGTCAATGGAATCCATTTAATCAAAAATATTTATTTATTTCACCCAATCGCACAATCAGGTGACTATCAGGACTCAGTAGCTAAGTGGATAACGTGATAACGTTTGAAGCGAACGGTACTGAGTTCTAGCCTCGGAATGAAAATGAACTCTGGGATGCAGATACATTCAGCTGACGAGTCCCAAATGGAACGAAATGCGCGTCCTGGATTTCATTGCTACCCATTATTCATCTTTGCTTATACTACATGTGAATATCGAGTCGAAGCGTACAGGATATACATATGCCAATATGAGACTAATCAATTGTAGTCCTAAATAACAATAAGAAGATACAAGTAAAACAAGATCAAATGTTTAGGTGTTGTGGAGATTGTCAAGTTTTTTTATTGAAATCATGAGTCAGTTGAAGCTAGACCACTACGGGAAACTTGAAAGCACTGGGCGGCCGTTTCCTCCCAGTATGGGGCTCCTCAGCAGTGCACATCCACGATCCTGCCTTGTGAGATTCGAGCCCAGGACCTATCAGTCTCGCGCCAGGCGCTTAACCAACTAGACCACTGAGCCGGCATCCAACGGCGTTAATATCTAACTTCAATCAATCCACGAAATTGCGCGACCATCTTCCATTGTACTGAGGTAAACACCTGTTTCTACCCGACACAGATTAGCTCCACTGGTCACGGTTTCTTACCAGAACTCCAAGAATTTTCTCACGAAGCTAGTCACTAATGAGCACATGATATTTATCAGTTTAGGTGTTGTGGAGATTGTTGAGTTTTTGATTGAAATCATGAGTCAAATCCATCAAATGTATTCAAAAATATATTTACTCCTTAATATTATATTATATTGAAAATTTTTACAGGAAAAATATCAACCTCAATTATATGTAACAAGTATTTTTAATCATACTATAATTAGAAAATTAATTCCATCATCCAATACATCTATTGAACCTACAGTGAATACATCAGAATTACAAAATGTTAAATGTTCAATATCTGACTCTTATTCATTATTGAATAATAACTTTATTAATAATAATAATAATACATCATTGATACCTGATTATAATTTAACACTAACAAATGATTGGTCATATTTTTTAAAAATAAATCTTGAAAATTATATTGATAAAGCATATTTATTTAATATGACTTTAATACCACAATTTAAATTACATGGTAACATAAAATCAATAAAACATTTACATAATTGTTATGAACCATATTCTATAAATCAATTACAACTAATTGGTCACTATCATAATCCAAATAATATTGATGATGATAAATTAAATGTTAATTATATAAAAGAGTATTCTATCAGAGATATACCTAATCAAAAAGATTGTGAAAAATTATGTTGGGCAATTCGACAACCATATTTATATAAAAATGGTGGATTATGGTTATGGGATAAAAAGTAAGTTCAAAACTATGAATAGTAAATTTTTATTATATTATGAATAAATTTTAGTTAGACATTTATTAAAAGTATGGAAATAATAAATGACTGTTTCATTCTAGTATGAGACTCCACAGTGATAAGTATACACAACCTCATCGAATGAAATGGAACCTGAGACCTTTAGTCTCACTTGTGCTTTCAGGTTCTCACTGGTGGTTTAGTGATTTAAGCTAGAAAAATTCTACAGTTTTCATAAATCCTCCCTATTTCGATAAAAGTTCAGTGTTCCTTGGGACTAGAATGTTACTTGATAGATAATTGAAAACAAGTAATCCCCTTAAGCTAATTAGTGTTCCATTATCAAATGAAATACTGTAATTGCGGTGAAATTTCATTGAATAGTAAGTTAATTCAGAACCATTAAGTGTTACTTTACCATAATGGAAAACCTGAAAGCACTGGACGGCCGTTTTGTCCTAGTATGGGACTCCTCGGTGGTGAGCATCCACGTTCCCACCTCGCGAGATTCGAACCGAGGATCTATCTGTACTGCACGTGAACGCCTAGCCTCTAGAGCACTGAGCCGGCATCCAATGATGCTAATGTCTAACCTCAACTCATCCACGAAATTGAGTGACACATTCACCGTTGTCTTCAGTGAGATACTATCTCAAAACAGATACACAAAACCCCTTCTGATACAAATATCAAATAGTTGGTAATTGAAGTTATCATGAATAAGCTATGTGATGTACAACTTTTTTCCTAAAGATTTAACGTACACCAAATATTATCACTATTTACAAATGATTGATTATTGAATTGTGACCAATTTTTTGTTTGTCTAGTCGATAGTGCTAATTAAATTCTGCTTATCAACAAGTTGCTATCCGACGACTAATCTAAGTGGCTCGACATCGTGTGTGATGCATCTTGATAATAGGTGGTTATGGGCATTCAGTAGGAAAATTTACTCCACTAAGATTTTGTGCCAATTAACACTTGCCAGAGAAGTTTATCCGCAATACTGAAGGGACTTATACTCTTACAGAAGGTCAGTCGAAATTCGGACAACTTAGTGTTAACGTTTCAAACAGTGAAGTCGGATTACACAGCATCAGGTTAGTGGGGTAGCATCATTTCCCTTAAGATTACAAGTACGCATTGTTGACGAGTGTCAGGTAGCAAGAAACCCAATTCGAGGTTTTCTTAGTGACTGATTCTAACCACCTATTATTAAAACGTATTACACTAGGTCATCAAGTCATTTAAACTAATACCAATAATGTAACATGTTGATTTATAGAATTCGATTGGTATTAGGGGACTAGACCAACATGACATTTGTCACCACCCAGTAATCAATCAGTTATTCAAATACACCTAAATAATTGGTACTTTTATTTTACACCACAAAGATCCTACAAATTGTTCGTAAAACTTGAGCATAATGTTTCCTCGACATTATGGTTTTGTAAATATAACAGTTCAGCAATTTCTCTTATTTCCTTTACTAACGACTAGATAAACAACATAATAGTCACAAATCAGTGATCAATCATTAAGTTCGAGTATACATGAACTGAATAATTAACATATATATAAAGTTAATAAACACTCTAAAATTACATACAAACGTACATGTAAACATTCACAAAAAATCCCACTACATACCACTATATATTATTTAATGTAATAAGAAGACGAAGATTATCAGAACTATGTTTTTACACTTAAGGTTAACCTTCTAATAGTATATGCAGGGAGTCTTCTTTTGAGGAATTTAAAGCAACTGGTCCATTTGATAAATTTCGATAATGTATTTCTGACAATTGCCCAGGACAGGGTTGGATGGAGAATGCTGGTGAGCGGCCTATGCTCCTTCGCGAGGAGTAACAGGCGTAAGTAAGTAAGTAAGTAATTTCTGACAATATTCGTCTTCTTATTACATTATCGAAATTTATCAAGGGGACTAATTGCTTTATGCATTATTTAATATGTAGTCAAATGTTATATTTTTTAGTTAATTTTGAAATTGTTTGTTCCTGTGAAATTTGACACATACCATTTAGTCATACATAACATTACTTCTGTTATGGTTATTATTTTCGAAGTAATTATCACAACAGTCACTTTCTTAAAAAAGTACAATCCAAATAGAATTATCCTATTCATTCTTTATGTAATGAGTATTCACATATGTGTTATGTGTAAGTGTGGTGATCTATGCATAATTTATGTAACTTAAAACTCATTAGTTTCTGACAAATTATAATCGATACATACAAGCATTAATTAATTGTATATAGTTAGATACATACTTATGCACTCAAATACCCATGTATACGTTTACATGAATACACACATACAGATGTACATATTTCTATAATAACCAAAAGATGGTACATGCAATTTAACACTGAAACTGGGATTAACTAGTTTTTTTTTAAGATTAAGAGAATTAATTTTGTTTATTTGAACGTGAATTATTATTGAACATGACTTTTATTTTTATTGAAAATAATAACAATGGTACTTTGTTTATTTATTCAAAGGGTTAATTGTATCACACCATTACTACTAACATTATGTTAGTGATAGACTCACTAATCCTATGTTAGTTACATTAATTGTTTTATTATAAAAATATTATTATGATAAGTATTATAATTAAACAAGTAAACTCCCACCTATTTATTCTCATAAACCTACTGATTCAGCAATGTTAAATAGAAATCCATACTTATTCAATGTTCGAATTATATCATTAATCCTTTCTCTTTCCATCGTGTCCGCTTCCCTAACCTTTATATCATAGTCAAGTAAATCAGTGTTACCTTCCATCAGATTACCATAATAATAATAATAATCATAATGAGGATATTAAGAACATTTATGATAAATATAAACAAATGTTTTGTGTAGAGTGAAAAAAGAGATTTTTTCCCTTAAAAACAAAACAATTAACTAGATTAATCAAAAAGGTATTAAATTAAATGTTTTTATAAATAGAATTAAACAATAATACTGTTAATATTGATGATAACTAATAAACAAACACTCGTCCATTATTATTTTCTCTTTTGTAAATAGAGATGGTTTTAAAAGTTTTAAACTTCTATGTTTTAGTAATAATAAATCATAAAAAATAATAAATATGGGATGATAATGGCAATGTTTACTCAATGAGATGTTGAGACTATTCATTAAATTAAATAATAAATATAGTTTGTAGGAAAATTTCGATTAACAAAAGTGGAGATTTGTGCAGTCAAAAATATTATTATTATTATTATTATTATGTAACTTGAGAAGAAGCGTGTGCGAGAGGGAGATCATATTTACTTTTTTTTATTGACAAAACAGAGTTAAAGTTTTCTGATAAAATTATTATTACTTAATAGATAATTTATGAGTGTATTTTATTGTATGTGTCTGTATGTGTTCATACTGTGGAGAATAAGAGAGAGAGAGAGTAAGAGATAGAAAATAATTACAAAAGTGTGTAGTTTAAAGTAAATAGAAAGACTATTCTACATTTATATAGAATGAAAGGGAGACTATGATGATTCGAATAATGCTTCATTCATTCATTCATTCATTCATTTGTTTTGTCTGTTTGTTTATGCAAACAATACACATAAACACACATTCATCGTTGAAAGTAAATATATCACTCTAACGACAACAAACTAATATAATACATTAGAATTATGCCTGAGAGAAAGCATAATAAATAGATCACACTTGAAATATCAACTCTTTTTCTCATTTATATGATATAAAAGTTAATGAGTTTCGATCGTAATTAAACATAATTATACTGCATAATAATCATAATAATAATAATTAATATTATTAAAATATCTCATTTTCCCTTACTCCACCTCAAACATCATCATTTGTACGTATTTAAATAAAAACACATGCATTTAGTTAGTAGTTCTGTCAGAAAATGATTTTTTTTCTCTTCTTTTAGAAAGCAGCACTAATAATAATAATAATCATCATTAATAATAATGATAATAATAATAACACAATGATAGTTACAAACATCCCCTCTCCATTCTATCTAAATAAAGTATACTCTTTCATTCTCTGTCATTTTCTAGCTTAATCGAATAAAATATTCGGAAATTATAAATTTCATATTAATATGAATTAGTTTTTTTTATATAAAACAAACAAACAACCAACCAACCAACAACAATGTACGAACTAACTAACAAGGTAATAATCATAATAACATAGAGAATTATTTCGACAAATAACATATACAAAATGAATAAATGAGTGAATAGATGAAGTATTTCGTGAATTATTTTCACTTTAATCGAATCTCAAACAACAACAAAAAATTTTTTTTGTTTTTTCCCCTTCTTAATTATATATGAATTTTTAACATTTTCTCTAATAAGAATAGAGAAAATAATAAATTTCATTTATTCACTCACTCACTCACTCACCCCCTCCTCTTTCTCTTTTTATTTTTTTATGATTATTAATTTTAGGAAAATAGAAAATTTGAAATTGAACACGCATTTAGTTTTAATTGCAATTTTTTGTATGTATCTAAGTGTGTTTGTGCATATGTGTGTGTATGTCTGTGTATATGTATGTGTGTATATATTCGTCTATTTCTATGTATGTATGTATGTATGTGTTTATAGGATTGGCAAAAAATTAGTTTGGATAATTATTATTATATTTATGATTCTTTGTGTTAATGACGTTTTTAAATGAAAAATTATTAAATTATTTGCAAATGATTCAATATATTCCCCATTTTTTTTTGTTGTTGAAAATTCTGTATTTAATTATAAATTTGAAAAAAGGGATATAATTTTAATTTATAGAATATACAAATAGTAATAATTATTATATTAATAATAATAATTATTATTATTATAGTTCTCTCATATTCATTTATCTATATTATAAATGTTAATATGAATAGATTAATCAATATTGTAGTAATCATGGAATTTATTACAAAATGATCAAATTATTTTAGAATGTAACTTGGCACTCTTCAATAATTCTGTGTCTAGTACTTGTGCGTATATGTGTGTGGTTATATATCTATATACTAACTGACACTCATATTGAATATATATGGGATGAATAAATGAAAGATTGTGCTGACAACTTTCCTACAAAAAAAGCTGTTGTTGTTATATCTACAATTTGTAATGAACAATAATTCATATTCATTTTAATATGATAGATATATGATGAGATTCTATCAGAAGTTTACTTTTAAAATAGATTACATAGTTCTTTGTAATTTTAATCAATAACACAATTTAACTGTAATTAAACAAGTATGATGATAAAAAGAAAGTGTATTAATAGTTTGAGAGCCCTCAAGAGTCAGTAAATATGATTCATACAAAGAATTAGGACATAAACTTTTGGGTTCACATTCATCACCTGACCTTTAAATAAGTGCATTGTAATTAAATGATCTAGATTTTTAAATTCAATGATACTTCAAACTATATTGGTTAAATGCAAGAAAGACTAATCGATAAGATGCGATTAAACAACTTGAGTGAGGTGATAAAATGAATATCATATGTTAGTATGGAGAGTTTGTAGAAATGGTTGAATTTCATAGTTTACATCATGAAATGATCTTATTTAGGTAACCATTAAAAATAACAAAGTATTAGAAAGACAGACGTTTCATCTTAGAATAAGACTTCATAACAATGTATATCTAGGACACTATTGACAACTGGACTTTGAGCCTTCAATTATGGCGTAGAGCATTTAATATTTAAGTCACTTAGTCAACATCCAGTGATTTATATTTCTAACTTCAGTTGGTTTGTGGTATACCACAACCATCTTCCAGGGTTATGATTTAGTAAATGTATTATATACGAATATGGTTGAACGTCACTAGAGCTCAGGTCTTAGTCTCAATTCTTGGTGTGATCTTAACTGTGAACTACTGAGTAGTCTCATGGAGTTTTCCTGAAAAATAACTTTCTTTTAGGCACTTCTTGGTTTAAACAGTTGAGTAATTTGGATCAGTTCGTTGATGTAGACCGTAAAAGACTGAATTGCCGTTCAACATTTAGGGATTTTTAGTGTTTTTTCTTCACAGAAATTAAAATCTGATTAAATCTACTTTACAAAAATTCAAAATACATTGAGCTTATGAACAAAGTAAAACTGGAAATATTTTTCACATGAAACCCAGTATCCATTGTTGTGTTTTCAACAGTATTATTGATAAAACTTGACAATTCTATTTCCGTATATTTTTCACTCTGATTACCATATTCCCTTAATATATCATTAGAATAACAGAAGAGTAATACTTTGGATGATTATTGCTTGTATAACTCATATGATTATGCAAATAAAGTAAGTGTGAAATTTTTAAAAGATGGGAGTAACGAATTTACATTCAACTGACTGTAATTGATAAAATAATATAATATCAGTTATATTGGTTAAAAAGTAAGACAGTACTAAACAAGTACTTCATTATTACCTCATACTACTTATAACCACTATTTACAATCAAAATATCGTTCATAAACACTTATTAGCTATTCAAGTTTAATCCTAGGAGGGTTGTGGTAGATATCTGAGAGAAATAAAAAATTCCTACGTTTCATCGTATGAAGAAGAACATTGCTATTTAGAAAACTTGAATACCCTTTATGAAAATTGTCTTTATTTTTCTTATCCAAGGTACAAAATACTTTACGCTGATTGCAATCAAACTTTAATGGCCATCGAACAAAGTGGCGTAAATGAAATGAATTTGAACACTTTCACAGCAACGCGCCTACAAAGACCAAGTGAACAATATTTGAGATCTGAAGAAGGACTACATTTTGTCATGTTAATTGGGTTTCATAGACAGGATCGAGAACAAACCAAATGTAATGCTGCCATAATGGGTGTGATGGATTTATTAAGGAAAAAATTGACACCATATAGCATGTAGTAATTTGTTTTTTTTACCTAAAAGTTTAACTACTACCTTGTTTATTCAGTAGTATGCTTTTGTTACAAGAAATGTAAGTTGAAATAATTAGCCTAAAATCCGATCGAGCTAGTGGTGTAATAAGGAAGTGAAATGTGTGATTGAGAAGTAACTTTTTCTAGTTCAGAACCAAAACACCTGTTTTATGTTTTGATTTATCTTCACCATTTATTTAAGACAATTTATATAGTTGGGTTTTTTTATTAAGGTTTTTTGTTATGGGACCGAACTGTTAACCCCATGCCTAAACTTCTTCAATTACTTGGGTTTTGGACCGGCTGTAACCATAGAACGGCCACAGGCGGAGTTATTTAAGAACTACAAAAAGTAAATCCGATCGGGCATCAAAATATTAATCAAGTAAAAGGATATATTGCCGTTGTAAAGAAAGTGATAAGTTTAGTATCATAGTTATATGCATTCAGACTACGAATATAGCATTTAGATATTTCCAAGAATACACTGTATTCTTGACAATTTACAGACAGACTAACTTCGAATCAGTTATGTTGGTGAGATGAATATATGCTACTCTGAGTTATAACATGAGGTAATAGACTTCATTGGAATATTACGAATATATTCATTTTTAAAATATTTAAAGTTTATGTGATTCTGAGATGTGACCGATTCTATTGTAACCTTCATTGCCTTCTATAAGATCACAAACCAAAGCATGCTGTTGTTCAAGAGGCAAGTCCTCACACAGTAAATTTAAGATATTCAAGTTATAAACTTGTGGTTTAAATAATACTGGTTTACGCACAAACATGTAACATTCAACCATATCAGATGTGTGATAAATATTATCAGTAGCTATGAATGACAGTTGTACAAAATATCTAGAATTAATGGAAGTGAGAAATACAAACAATCGATTATCGACTCGATAGTGTAAGATTTTAACTCTTCCCATAAGTTTTGCAAATCACCGATTTGGTTCCTAATGGGTGTGCATTCCCAGAAAAGTTGTTTAATGTTTTCTGGTTGTTAATAGTGATATCACTCAAGTTAGACTGTGATATAAACTATGAAATCCAACAATTTCCATAACATTGATAAATTTGGTCCTAGATTTGATCACAAATTTTACTTATGAATGTATTCTTTAAAGTGATAATTATCATAGGTAATTCTATGTGAACCTGTATTATAAGAATGATGGTAATCAATCCAACTTTAGTTTCTACAATAGATGGATTGTAGCTAACAGTAGAATCCAAGAGGAGCGTTATGTAGGATTTGGAATATTTTAAACTATTACTAGCAATGATTTAAACATTTAAATTTTAAAAAATATGTCAGGTAATATTTCTTGTCTCTCGTTAATCAAGATGGTTCAATGTTCATTGAATTGTTTATTAACAGTTACAAGTTAAATATTCATTTTAATACATAAAACTTACATTGAAATGATTAATTCTATATGATTTTATCTTTTATCATAAGAAGTATAGATTATTATTCACTGAAATAAATATTAGATAATTGTGAAGTCTTTAATTGGATGCGCACTGCTGAGGAGTTGCACAATAGGACGAAACGGACGTCCAGTGCTTTCGGGTCTAGCTTTAATTGACTCATGATCTTAACTATTAAAATTACTATAATATTCACAAAAAAACCCATCTGATATTAAATAAATTTCATTACATGTTAATTGTATATCGAATATTGTACATTCATCAACATGTTTGATTTGAGATGAATACAGTTTCACTGGAACAATTTATCCTTAATGTTATAACACTCGGTTTTCCACGTCTACACGGATAGGACGTTAACTTGCTTCAGAAGGATATCTACACTAGATTCCCTCCCAGCGTCTATTCTACAGGATTTCAACACAGCTCATATCAAGAACATGTGATTAGCCTGGCTAGAACGTAAATATATTTCCACATAAAAAAAGCCGACACAATCCAACAACAATCGATAATAATAAGAATATGGATAGGAGAATATATATCTCATCTAACGTTTGTAAAGCTACCTACAAGTCTGACTAAACAAACAACCAATCATTATCATTCTCGTCCACACATCACTTAACATTATGATACTATTGAAACGGAATGGTTGTTGATTGTTGACTTATTCACCAAAATACAGATTTTGTTTTGAACTGAGATTTGTAATATTGATGATTGAATAGTTGAAAACACTCCGTTTTTAACTAATAGGATAGCAGTTCGGTAAAAATATAGTGTAGAGATAAGTCGATCAGAATTGAGTAAACGATTAACAAATTTTACGTTAAATTCAAAAATGTAAGATTTTATATGTCACATGAAACAATAAACGGAAATAACCTTTTTTGCATCGTGTTTAAAACTTTAACCAGGAACAGTTAGGAGACCATAAGTTAATCCTAATTTCTGCCTTATCCGAATGTAGCTGATACAAATTAGTAATTCATAGTTTAAAATTTCCCAACAAGGCTAGGAATAAATTGAGGAATATTATGTAGATAATTAGATGAATACTTAGGGAGTTAGTTATTTTATTTTAAGCATCAGGAGTATTTAAGTTACTTCCGAAAAGTTATAAACTATGTGCTATATCCTTAGCTAAACGATTATCGCGAAATATGATACGCTAACTTATACGATCAAAATAATAACGAATACAGCACTACGGGCAGCCTAGAGTTCCGATCGGTCCTTTTTCCACCTGGTCCTGCCTGTAAAGTCCAGAACGCCAATCTCAGCCTCCATGATACGAATCGTATATTTCAAATATACTTGGTTTATACACAAACACAATCAGACCACATCACACCATAAAATAGAAAATAACATTTGATCTAGCCAAAAGTGGCTGTGCTTGTGAGAGACTGTGACTAATAGATTGAGAACAACTTGGGAACAGTAAATCATATAACAGTAACTAAGAGGTCAAATAAAAGAAATATGAATATACATATAATATAGTTACTTAATATTAATACAAAAAGAATATTCGTTTAATGTTAGTGCATAAGTAATTCTTAACGGTCAGCATTAATTTATTCTCATCCGGATACAACACTATGGTTTCCATAATTTGACTTCATATTATAAACTTTAGGAGTCTTAGTAGCTGAATACGGGTAAGTTTAGCCTAGCTTTATTATATTACAAACTATCCGTCATTACGCTTTGAATTTCGCGCAAAGATTCAGTGGCTACTATCCTTAATTTGAATGGTTCGTCAGCATATTATATTTTGTGTATTGTTTATTATTCCTGTACTTTTCCATAAGCAATTGACTTACAATAACTGTTTTCCGAATGACTAACTAAAGAGTTGGATTAGTCAAGATCGAACTAATAATCATTAAAGCGCTTTCCCGTATATTATACACCTATCATAAGTATAAAGCCCACCCCAACTACTTTAATTTTGGTAACCAAATTGAATCACTAGAGCTTATACTAAGAATTTAGATCGAATCGAAACAATGATTTGCAAAACTATTGAACAGTTAAAAACAAGATAAATCTGCACCAACTGAAGTTTCCAACTGTTTCTCAGTTTTGTTATTTCATATCAGAAAGACAAATCTTATTAATCAATAGATTGGAAGGTTAACAACAGGTGGAGTAAAACGGTATCAGAAGTGAGATATTTATCACTATTAGTCAAGGATGATGGTTGAATTATCTAATATGGATTGACTAAAGTTAGGAATGTCAACTACCCAAACGGTTACGAGTGGATAGACATAAATAGGCTTACATAGGGGAGAAAACACTGTCTAACAGTAACATAGTTTCTTAAATTTGTAAAAAATTTTCGAAACAAATGTTTAATATGACTTATATATGTGACTATCGGTAATTATAAAAAAGAATCGACTGTTGAATTATCAGGTGAATGGTGGCTAGCTGAGGGATCCAGGATGGGCGTTTGGTCCTACCTGGGACACATCGTTTAGGTGTGCAAGGAAAATAACTAATTAGAATACCGTTTAAAGATCCCCATCATATTAAAAGACTAGTATTTGAACGAAGAATATTCTTCTCGATAAATTCTCTTCAGGTTCTACAATTATATATCCAAATTAATAAACCGAAAAATGGCCAGGTTAAGGGCAAAGTATTATTATTATTACTATTGGTTAAACATCATTATTAATCTCCCTTATACATGGTTCATTCACTTCGCATTCATCCCTCCTCATCATGTCTTACTTAATTGATCGAATTGTAATTGCACTATCATTTATCTCTCACCCTATTTGACGCATATTTATTCTGATCATGGATCTTAAAATTTCACCTAACACGTACATACTGTTGGAACTCATAATTATTCACTTCAAGGAAATCTAAGAAGGAAGGCTTATTGCAATATTTCCACAGTTGAAAATTAGGTGGTATAAATGTCTGGACAAACCACCTCAGTCTGTGTACATATAGCAAAATGTATTCAAAGCATTACTTTGTAAACAAAAATCATCCATTACTTTCTGACAGTGAATAAACAATCTAACATGTGATTTCCAATTTGACATACAAATTTCCGAGTAAGAATTTTATTTTACTTTAGCTTATTCTCTACTAGTTCTTTAGTAATATTTATATCTTTGGTGTTTTTATTTGATTCGCTATTTACTGACTTCAACGTCATTGATGTATACCTATATAAAATGTAGATAGTTTGAACTGATAATCCATATCCTAATTTTTGCTTTTAACTTTAAAACTAGACCACATAAAATGGTTAAATTAGAATATCTTAAACGAAAGCCAAATGTTTTCTTCTGAAAACCCTAAAGAAATAGAGACCAACCGAATTCCTTCAAGCATTGTCATACTATCGAATCAAAAATATCATATTCATTTCTAACAGTATCTGAAATATGTGATATATTCTGGCTCGGAATCGATCACAATGGCGTCGGTGTATACACTCCCTGTCTTCCCTTAAACTAAGAGACTAAAATCACTTCATTCTTTCTGTCTACGAACTAATTCTTTCTTCCTATACTATATCCTTATTGCAACCTTTGACCTAACCACTCCTATGAATCCGCTGTTCATCTTGCTGTGCTAATGAGGTATGGCAACCTGGACCGATGCACATATGTGCCTGGTCCTACGTTGTAGCTGACTGACTGAACTAATCACGTTCTTGGATAGGAGCTGCACTCCAAATGTGAAGGCTAATGATACTCACAACCCAGTTACTCAACGAGTAGGCAGGATGGGTCCGGAACCTGAGAGTTAATGGTTGAAAGTCGGACCCTTTAACCACTGAGACACCACATAATTTATCAAGACAAATCAATGAACCATTGAACTTACACATGTATTTATATTTTCTGAAACATAACATAGGTATCGTGTACGTCGTGAAAGGAGACTTGATGGCCACAAACAA